CCATGGGACTAAGTCAATTTCTCTATTGCTGAGTGCTGAACCGACTTACCACACTTTCGTTACCGGCCATGTTGTCTACAATGTATTGGCGTGAGATGAGACAGATGACAAAGTATACGCGAACCGCGAGAAACACCACCTGCAAACAGTCTACTGAAGTATACAAAGATTTGGAGATTGAACGCTTTGCTGTAAGTCACCTGTGGATAAGCAATCGGAATTGGAACCCAATCGAAATTGCATAGCAACGCTAAATTCGTTCGGAACGCTTTGATCTCCTGAAAATGAATCAAATTCGAAACAAAGACAATCACGTAGTTTGGACTGCAGGACTCAGCGACCAATAAGTGTGGGGGCATCTGTTAGCCAATGTGTCTTGAAGGAAGCGATTACGATAAAGAGGGAGCGCATCGGGGAAGCATTGCACCACACGAAGCAGTTACTTGGCTGCCAGGAAGCGAGATGTGGCGCTTTCACGACGAAAGGTGCGCTGGTTGCTGAGCAGGATTTCGAAAGCACTCCGCTTCCGGAAACGATCCGCCCACGATCGACCCTAAGGCGCCTGCGGCGGAAGTTATAGCACAAATTCATGGACACAAACTGAAGCTATGTAGTTGTAAACTATTATTGTGCACGGTATTTAAGTTGGGATGAAATGGTGCCCCGGTAGCGTAACTGGTAGCGCACTTGCCCGGAAAGCGAGAGGTGCGGGTTCTAGTCCCGCCTGGGGCGAAAGTTTTGTTCACAACCCAGCATTCTTGTGAAACATTCGCAAGGCGAACTGCGGCCAAAAACAGCAGTTAACAAACAAAAATTTTTCTCTGAACGGTATATAGTTTGATACTAAATCGTGGGCAGTTTGCAGAAATTTTTTTGTTTGAATAAAAACGACACTACTTATGGGACAACCTAATACATAGTTTCAGTTCGTGTCCATGAATTTGTGTCCATGAACTTCACAACGACGGTTTCTTTTGCTTCTTGTTTCAGTCATTTTCATTCATTACGCTAATGGGAGACATAGAGCCTACTGTTTCTTATTTGACATCGCTGCCCACCTCATTTTGAGCGATTTTTGGTGCCACTCCAAATTTAAGGTTAAAACAAATGATAGTCTCCTGGACTACCATCGCAGTTGCAATTGTGGCAGTGTATGGTGAAATAGAAGAAAGTGGCTAAAAGTGAACTCACTTGAACACAGGCGTTAAGTGATGGTGCACGCTTGATATCGACCCCCAGAACTTTCTGTGCTTTAAAAGGCATAAGGTGAGGCGCCCAGTTGATTGAGCCCCAGTATTTGTTGTAGTTTATGGAGATGCTCTCCAGCTCACGCTTTTCATGTTCATGCAAAAAACCTGAAGATAATTTTGATTTTTCCTAGAACTGATCAACCTTGATCTTGACCGTATTTCGAAGGCATCGTTCTTGCCGAGCTCAAAGACACAACAGGGACTCAACTAATATATTTTTACGCTTGTAAATGACAGTGGAGATGTGAAATATAAGGACAGTTATATTGAAAATGGCAAGAAAATATGCGACGAGGACCAAAAATAAACGTCCCTCTCAGTACGCGAATCGACTAGCGACCGATTTGTGGGTGGGGGTCAATATGTCTTGGCGGGGTTGGTGGTGGGCGCGGCCAATGGTGGATGCTAGGGCTTTAGGTCTTCAGCCTTATCACATCGTTTTGACACTTAAAGGCAAAAGTCGGGCTCAATAAGGGGGTATTATGGCGATTGAAACTGAGTATAGAGATGCGAAGTGGAACGACAGTGGAGAAAAAACTGAGAAAAACCGTCGACAAGGCCGTTAACAAAACCCTCTTTCCCACTAGCAGTGAAAGGAGGCTGTCTTGGGGAAGAGGCACGTACAAACAAGTTTTCTGAAGATATCAGTCGTTCTATCGGTTGATACGGCAATCAACCTAGCTGGCGGCGACAACGCATAGTACATGCCCTGGGGCCTTATTACTGTGCCATTTCGGGTTTTGAGTGTGGGAACATCTCTACGGGTGCGTAACCAAGTAGAGGCATGACCGAAAGGGTTGGTTTGGTCAACTAATCCCGACCTTTGCCTTCAAGCGCTTGCTTCCCTACTTGCCGCACAGCATGCATTTTTCTTGGGAGAAAAGGCCCTCCATTTGACACTAAATCCCGGACCCTAGCCCTCATGAACACCAAATTTATTCAATTGTGACTAGCAGTATAGGCAGCATAGAAATGTAGATATGAATAGGGGGCTGAAACGATTTGACAGGGTGAGCATTGATGAAAGAAACCAAGTATGTAGAGGCTTGACTGTCCTAGGATGGGAGAGAGGAGGGGCAATCCTGTCTGCGTTTATATAAGTAGTTTGTATAACTCAGGTCCAAGAGGAGGGGGAGGGGAAGGGGAGGGTCAAAGAGTTTTCATAGTGATGCTGTGCAAAAAAGTCTTGAAACGAAACGCAAAAGCAAGCAACAGAGAGCAGATGGGTAGTTTCCAGTCCACATGCCGTCGAACCGAACGCATAGTTGATGAATGCTCGGGGTTTCGATAGACAGCGCAGTGCGATCACTGCGGTAGTGCCTCGGCGCTTGGCACGTCGCCTCGTAGCTGGTGGAGTCCGTCACCCGTCATGACGTTCTGCTCAATGGCAATGGTCTTTTAATTGGTCACTTAACAACTTAGAAACTAGACGGGAACATTTTTGTAAACCTGATTATGTGTGTTTGACTCGAGATACAAACAAGGCGGTTGATCCGCCCGATATTCATGGCGCTGCTCCACCTCTTTGGGGCAGCAGAGCTACCCGTGACCACACACGGCAGGCCAAGTAGGTGCGCGGCCTAGGCAGCGGGCTGTAATCAAGCCAAGCCCGTCATAAGCCACGTGCTTAGGCTTCGTAAGTGATTGCGGGAGGGCCATTACGCGTTTTTTTGTTGTTCCATATATCCGTTTATTTCAACGTCCACTTCTTCAATTAGTGAGGGCATCTTTCTATCTCCTTTTTTGAGCAGCCACTTATCGCACCCAACTGCCTTTAAATTTGATGTCTCAGAGTATAAGTTTTGTGCGGTAATAAAAGAAGCAACAGGGAAGGATAGAACTATGAAGCTCACCAGCGATCACCAAAGACTCGGTATTGGGAAATCGTCTTCTCACACGCATAGATATATCACGAAATACGAGCACCTGCAAATTGCCCTTGTTATCAAAATTTTTCGCTTTTCTTTTACTACTACGTTTTTTTCTTGTTTACCTTGACTCGGAATCATTGCAGTACGCTGCGTTTGCTATTTAGAATCGCTGTTACGTAGCGCCCTAGCAAGGGCTTACCGGTAGTGATCATCGCCTTCGACGAGAGTCCCACTCCCAGGTGGCAGGATTGACCTATCACTGGTTGGTGGTGAGATTGCTGTCTATAGCGAGAGAATGTTGAAAGGCTGAGCGACGGCGTCATCTATCGTCAATTTAGACGAGCGCGGAAGGCAAAAGGGTTTACTTCATTAGATTAGATCATCCTCCATGTTTTTTCTTCACCACCACACTTTTTTCATCTCTACTTTCATTTCCAGGAGCGACCAATTATCGCGCCATCTGCCTTATGACATCTGCCGCGCCATCTGACTACCCACGAGTACAGTAGTTTTGGGTGGTAGGCAGATTCATGGCGCATTCTTAACCCACCAATACGCATATGGATCTGGGCCTCAATCGGCCGAATAGGTAATATGTTAGATTGTGTCAATGGAATGCGGGGGGCCTCATGCCACTGCCAATGCCTGCCCACAGTCCAAGTGAAATGAAGAAAATCAAAATCACTTCTCAATCCAGCCCATATTGTTGAATATTTGCCTCCATCGATCCACAATGATCGTCACAAAGAAACCGAGCATGAACGTCAGGGGAATGTATTCCAATTTCTTGTCACAATGTGCAGCAATCCTCTCGAAAGTTCTGGAAACTCATAATCATCTATCGATCAAAACCTCTGAAGTCCGATTGTTACTCACCGTTTATGATCAGTATTAAGTGCATATCGATATGTAGTGAAGATAATGTAATAACAGATTAGCCACAGGAGAAGTTCGTGCATCACCGACTTCCAGATAGGAACCACGCCATCGAAATAGCAAATGAACAAATGAAAATGCAGTTACTGACGAGACATCCCGATTATAGGAGACCGTCATCTCGCAGGATAAAGTCACCTATTGAGACAGCACTACAAGAAGAAGACGACTATGA